AGTACCAGTGAATGCCTGAGCTGAGTACTGGATCTAATCCATTCACTCCCCTCCCCTGTTGCACACCCTCTGGAAGTGTTCCTGCTGTCCACTTATACCAGGTCTTGCTCTAGCACCAAATGTGGGACTCTGTTGGTCTCTCAGTGTACCCTGGAAAGAAATGGTGGCAGGAAGGAGGAAAAGATAGACAAGATGACAGGTACTGGGTCAAGTGGTAGTCCATTGCCTGATTAGAAAATGAACCCTAAAACAATAGTAGGAGTGCTTACACCTTTTCAAAGTTAATATCATGTGACACAAGGGTGCCTAGTCACTAATAGCTGACACTGACCAGGCAGGACATTTTTCTCAAGACTGAGGTAGTTTCACCGCACTAGGCAATCTGGCCTTGTGCTCCCCTCACACACCATGATCAATTTTCAGCTTCAGCTGCTCCCAACAATGAGTTAAATTAACATGAGAGTCAGTCACATCATAGATTTTAAAAAACTTACATGATATATGTGTTACTCTGTTCTATATTAAGATGAACATTTACATATGGTAAAAATGCTAAAATATTATGTATGACTTTTTATCTCAAGTATTCTCTATAAAGCATATAACTGTTGTACAAAAATAAGCACAAAAGGTAAAATAACAGTCTTCTGGCTATATTTTATGTTTCAATGTACTTGATATCCAGATAAAATTATAATAAACTCATTACTCCCACTACAATACTGTTTCTAGGTTACAAAGGGCAAAAAGGACCATCATATAAGACAACATTGTTAAGGAGCCTTTGCCTAAAACCAAAAAGAGATACTTGACCTACTTATATTAGCAGATCCACTCAATAATTTTTTCATCTTAGGAGAATTAAGCATATAACTGAAATTCCCTATAATCTCTAGAGACAAACAATTATTGAAAGATCTCATTTAACCTTAAAACAACAATTATTAAAACCAAAAGGGTGAATTCACACAATCCAGATGTCACTACAGATGCAATTAGTTTTAGCAATTTACCTTTTAAGTTTCTTGAATCCAGTGCCTGGCTTCTCAATTCCCTTCCCATCATGTTTCTCTGAATTCTCTATTAGTGAGTTTGTTATTGCTGTACAGAAATGCAATTGATGGGGCCGGGGAGATGGCTCAGTAGAATAAGCGCTTGCCTGGCAAGCCCAAGTGTCTGATTTCAATCCCCAGTTCCGCCAAAAAAAATAAATAAATAAATAAAAATAAAAAAAATTAAAAAAAAGAAAGAAATGCAATTGATTTTTGAGTATTGTCTTTGGAACCTGCTGTGCTGCTGAATTTGGTTAATTCTAGGAGTCTTGAGGCTGGGGAGATGGCTCAGTAGAACAGGCACTTCCCTGCCAAGAGCAAGGGCCAGATTTCAATCTCTAGTTTCACTAAATAAATAAATAAATAAATAAAATAATAATAATAGCAATAATTCTAGGTGTTTTTTTTTTTCTTATGCATTTAGTACAGGTCTAAACTACACAGGTTCTCATTACACAGATTGGATCCTCCTCTTTTCAACTACCCAAACACTGGGATTATATGCACATGCCAATACACCCAGTCTTAATTGCACACTCCAGGAATGGCACCTGCTTCAATCCCTGTTTCTGCCTAAGCAGATGCTTTAATCCTCTGAGCTATCTGGTCGGCTCTCCCCCTTATGTTTATTTAACAACATTCTTACACCTTTTTAACCAAAGGTCATAGGCCCTAGGTCTTGTGGTTTACCTTTAGGCAGGTCAGTGGAGTGCCCTACCATGCTGGCAACCTCCAGGAGTGGCTGTGTTTGAGGTCTGTGGGTTTGCTTGTATTTCCTTAGATAATGGAAAAGTACTATGACTAACATCCCAGTGTGTAAGATCATGGACCACACCTAGCAATGAGGCTGAGGGCGGGCCACCAATGACCTTCATCTGAAAGACCAGGAGACATCAATACTCTGCATCAGGGACTGGAGGGACAACACTCTTCTCTAATAGTCAGTGGAGAGTCCTGGAGGATATTATGGATAAAGCACACTGATTGACTGGATCAGTGTTTGTATCCCAGTCCTCAAGACCCACTGATTTATTCCCTCTGCCCGGCCAATGGAATACTGAGTCTGTGTGCCTAATCCTTCCCTTTGAGGCCAGCTACTTAGATGAGTCAGCCCTCACATATTTTTCATTCACTAAATAGGATGCTTCCAAAAATGAAAGTTTTGCCAGGACCTCAAATGAAGGACCAAACCTTGACAAATCTTATTTTCCATTGTTGCTCATCCAACTCTGTGTGTCTGGGCTAAAACATTGTTCATCTTTGCTTTAGAGATTTCAGCCTTGGGTTGGCTATATAAAGATCAGATGGTGCCTCTTACTCTGGGCTCCATACCCTTTCATGGAGATTATACTTATGACTCTAAGCCCAACTTGCCTGTTTGTTGATCCAGTGTACTCATTGCTCATGTGTATGAAGGACACATGGCCTTGTGGGAAACTTGTAGAAAGGCTCCTGAGGATAATAAAGTAGATAAATTCAGATTTTCCTTTGTAAATTGAGTCCCACCTGGAATGTGTATGGGAGACATTAGAAGCAGGTGCTGACTGCTCCTAAGTGCATCACCAGATAATAAACTGCAGTCCCTCCCAGTGCTAAATGCCACTTGCCTGGGGTAGGAATTAAGTCCCTCTACACCTCATTTGGGCATAAGTAATAACACTAGCCCTAGTCAGTTTTCTCTTTGGAAATTAGCATTGCCCTTTAAACGTGACTGTACTTAGGTGGGAAAAAGGAAGCTACCAATGGTGGAAAAGTTATATTTGCTTTAACTAGATTTTAAGTATGGATATTTGTGTATACAATCTTCATTTAGTCCTTTATGGGACTGGGATGTGGAATAAGACTTCCTTTTCAGCTTTCAATTGCTCTCTCATCCATTGCGTCTATTGTGGTCAACTGTCAGCTTTCCATTCAGCTCTCAGTATGGTGTACATGCTTGGAGTCTAGGACTTGCTGCTGTCTTCTTGCTTTTTATATTCTTAATATGTCGTAGAGGAATCTCAAAAACCAACATCGAAATGCCCTGGGATCCGGACTCACTCCTGTGAAGCTGATTACTTTTAAAAGGGAACTGCTGAGGACCAGTTTGATGTGGTACAAACAGGAAATAATTAATATTAATAAATTGGCATGAAATAAACTCAGTCTTTCCTAGGCCTACATGGCATATGGTGAGACTCCCTGTTGGCTTCAGTACAGAGTAATCTTTAAGCCAGTGGCCAGAGCCATGGCTAGCAAGTGGTCTAGGAAGTTGTGGCCCCTCAAAGCCAGATGACATGGCACTGAGGAGTTGACCTTTGCATTTACTGTCTAGCTCAGTTGTTACAATTAGCAGCCAGGTTGTCAGTTAACCCGGATTGGTTCTTGTGTGATTTTCCCACAATGTGTTGTTCCTTAATTCTTGAACCTTGACCATGTTAGCAGGTCACCCCCATTGCTTTCTGTATCCCACCAGCACATCTCCCAGTTAATTGGACACAGAATAGAGGCCAAAGACACCATGCATTATGGACCTCTCCTGTCATTGGGTTTTGAAGATCCTGGTGTCCCTTGTAACTAAAATAGAGGTTTGGTCTGTGTTTTATTATGTCATCATAACACTGAGCAGAGGAATAGTGGTCCTAGGCCAGGGCTCTGATAGTCGGGCAAATAAGAAGAAAGGAAAGAAGGAAGGAAGGAAGGAAGGAAGGAAGGAAGGAAGGAAGGAAGGAAGGAAGGAAGGAAAGAAGGAAGTTAATTTACTGAGTCACAACTGGAGGCAGGGTGGCCAAGGTATGGCTGTCGAGGCCTGTGAGCAGCCTGAGATGTCAGTAGAAGGTGATATTTTTGGAGTGCAGCAGAGCCGTACACTTTGTTTGCTCTTTGATTGGGAATCAGCAAGACAGATGTGGGTTAAGTTGCAGTTGTCTTCTTATAACTGAGGTTACTAGTTTTAGAACTGACCATGGGCTGAGGTTGACCCTGATAGCCTCAGTCCTCCAACCTTGCCCCCAAACCCAGCACGCAATCCTGCCCCAACTCCCTTTCCCATGACAGCATCCTCAGAGAAGTAAAAGTATTCTGAGCAGGCTGGTTGGGTCATCTCCATCTGTACAGCCATTGTCATGCCTAGGTCCCCATCGCTACCCAACACCGTGTGACCATTGCCACAGGAACAGCTCCAAGATGCGTTTGGCAACCATTGTGTTAAAGTCACCACAGTTATGAAAATGAAAGCAGCAGATGGAACACCACACCATAAGGATGGAAACGTTTAGGTTGCATAAGGCAGCATATTCCCTCACCTCCCCTGCCCCTGCGCTGGCTTCACGATGCACCTTCAGGTGGTCTGGGTGTCATGATATTGCAGGCAACCTGCTTACAGGTCAGTCTTGGCACAGTCCCCACCACTGCACAATCAGGACTGTGAGCAACAGGTCAATAGGGTGCTCACCCCTGCCCACTCTCTGGAAGGAATAGGTCTCTGCTGCTGCTCACACCACGTGTCCTCCTATCTTCACTATTTCCCTTCATCCACAGGGTCCTGGTGAGATGGGGGTGGCTTCTTTTGTAGCCACTATAGTTCCCTTCAGCCTGCTGGCACTGATAGGGCTGTTGCTGTGGGACCTGTTGTAGTCACTTTAATGTAGAAATAAGGTGTGGCCCACAGTACTTTTGTGGGAGGGGGCACAATTTTGGGCTGCTCTGCAAGGGACGCCAAGGCTGGGACTAAGAGTGCCCACCAAAGCTGGAGCATCACCTTACTTTACCCACACCAGATTCAGGAAAGACTTAGGGAAGCAATGGTGAGGAGCCTGGAGTCTCCTTTTACTGTGTACTCTAACATCAGGATGAGTTCTGGGGACAACAGCCCATGCAAGTGATACTTGTGTGAACCCACCATTAGTCCTTCCCCTTCTTGGGCCCAGAGAACAAGGAGAGCAGGCTAGCAGAACAGGGCACATGTGTTTATTTAGCAGATAATGGAGGCTCCATCAGCAAGGTGCATTTTGCTTCAGCTGTGTGGGCAGCACTGTGCTGGAGGAAGGGTCTCTCATCGCTCTCATGGGCATTATGGCTGGTGGGGCTGCCAGACACCACTGAGCAGAGTAGTGACAGGAAGAACAGGATGGACAGGTACTGGAGACACTGACAAGCTAACAGAGAAAAGATGGTTGCATTCATAAGGGGAGCAGAGGAAGAAAGGCAGGCCCAAGTAACCCTGCCTCCCTGCCCTGGCCTCCCATCAGCCCTCTACCCAGCCATACTCACTGCTGTTCACATATCGATGCACCTTTCTGTGGGAGAGAAAGAACATCAGAGCAGGAAGGGGAGTGTGTGTGTGTGTGTGTGTGTGTGTGTGTGTGTGTGTGTTTGCGTGTTGTGCTCTTTGGCTGATAGGACCTTGGCGCACAACACCTAACTGCCTGAGGAATTAGCAAGTTTCGGGGGAAGGGAGAAGGCTCAGGACTGGGATACCCGCTGTGTAACAGGAGATGGTCCAGGGCAGTGAGACTGGGAAAACTTGGATCTGGGACTGAAATTGTCATGTGTACAGAACTCTACCTCTCTGATGACTAGAGGAGGGGACTGAGCTCTTCCTGTCTCCTTTTTCTGGTGGGGCAGCAGAGCTGAACACTACAGACATTCCACTCTGCTCTCTCGAGCTGGCCATTACCTATGGGGTTTGTAAAGATGATGTTCTTTTTGGTGAGGCCCACAGACTTGGAAAATTTGATAAACTTCCTCTTCAGTTTACGTCCCAGCTTCTTGGTCCTCCCTATATTCAAGATGAGGGAAAATTATCAGGAGAAAGAACTCTGAATTTTTTTCTATAGTTGGTACAGGGTCTCACTATGTAGCTCTGACTCACAGTGATACTGCTGTTTTAAGCCTCCCCAGAGCTGGGATTATAGGTGTGTGACAGCAACCAGGTCTAGAACTCTGTAATTCTTTTTCAGTGATTTGAATGATCTTCGCATGTAGTTCCAGCTGGTCTTACAGTTACAATCACCTGTCCTTGGCTCCAAGGTGAATGTAATGACAGACAGTAACCATCATCCTTGGCTTAATCCATAAATACAATTGAAAGAGTGGGTCCAACCTCAGACCCATTCCCACAGAAGGGTTTGGAAAAGGTATCTGCCCTGAGAGAGGCTCAGAGTGAAAAGGAATTTATGATCAAGTGTGACCAGGAACCCTGTTCCTGAGGGGATGGAGTGAGGACCCACCGTAGAGGGTGACAATGATGTGCTCGCTGTTTGGGACAGTCACCTTCAGAAACACCAAAGCAAAATGCTTGTAGTCAGTGGATACCACTCGCAGAGTATAATTCTCTATCTCACTGATATCTGCAGTGTGGACAGAAAAGAATCATTTATTTCCTGGCCAGGGAGAAAGGGAGTTACCTTCCTCTCCAAGCAGTCTTCAAGGTTCTCTCCCTACAGGACATCTTCTGTGAAGGGTAGGGAGTTCTTTGCTCTTCCAGAAGTCTCTGCTTCCAAATCCTAAATCCAGTACAAGCCTTCTCTCAGCATTTACCATTAATGTTTCTCAGAGTGAACTCTCCAGGACGGCCAGAGGAGGATAGATCTTCAAACCAGATTTCACAGACGCCTTCCCTGTGGGAGTGAGAGATGGAGGCACTGTGAGCAGGAGGACTGTGCAGACTTGTTCCCCCTGAACTACATACATGGTGGAATGTGTCAGGATTTTCAGATATCAGGCCAGTGCAGTCCACAAAATTCTGTCCCCTGCTCTGTCCCTTCCCCCACTGTTCCATGACCATGGATCTTCTCTTCTGACATTTTGCCTGGCCTGCTATGTGGGTCATTGGAATCTCTCTTTTTCTACTCCCTGGAGTAGCCTGTGCTACACACAGGACTGGGGCAGTGATCCCCACTCACCTGTCATCCTGCTGCTCCTCTTTCCTATCTCTCCTGGCTACTTCCATTCAGCTCTAGTTTGCTCCATGCCAAGCACTTCTCTACTCCTTGCTCCACACCTGCCCTCTAAGCTGAGGCTAAACCATCCTTGCACTCCAGAGCTATTATCCCAAACCTGCTTTTCTGTTACCTACAATTCTCAAATACTTCAACTCCAAACTACCTACTGACCAATGACGGTGCTACAACACAGTGCATATACTGCAGGTTAATGACCCTGGGATCCCCGTTCAGAGACCTCATCTGTCTCACCTCTGTCATCTCCTATCCGTGATGGCCTGGCCCCATTTCTTAGTTCTCCCTATTCCTACTGCAGCCAAGCCCAGATTGTCACTTGCAGGAGCCCCAGGGTAGGCCCTGGCTTACGATGACAAGTTCCAGGTTGGGCCTGGGAACACTTCCCTGCTGGCTGCTCATCTGCCACTGTTCAGGAGCCCACAGCGAATGCTAGCTAGTTTGCTGTCACCTAAGTTAAGCCTCTCTGACTGTGAGTTCAGCAGACTCAACTGTGACCACTTCGGCTTATTTATGGAAGCTACTAGCGTCTCTAGTGGTAATGGAGGTTCAAGCCAGGATTGTTGCCCTGAGCTACATCACCAGCCTTGTTCTTAAATTTTTTTATTGTGAGACAACCTCTCACAAAGTGGTTGAGGTTGGCTTCAAATTCCAATCTTTCTGCATCAGCCTCTGAAGCTTACTTAACCTAACAGGATTATAGGCAA